CAAGCAGCCTCAATATTGTCCTTGTATAATTATGTTTCGTTTTATATTAAATTTTTTAAAGGCTGTTTGCGATGCCAACTTCAGAATTACAAGTATTTGTGCGAAATGGCCTGGCAGCGTTCACGACAGCCGAATATGGCGCGAATCTGCATTGTGTCAGAAATTTGAGAATGGTACAGTACTTGTTTTGCAATCACTTTCCTATCATTTCAAAAACACAAAACCAACAAATTATTTGCATTTTTTAGAGTGTAATTCTGTATTACATCTTAATAGGTGAATGTAACGGATTTCTACTCGGAGATTCTGGTTATCCGTGTAAAAGATATCTCATGACACCGTTTCTGAATCCTTCTACTGTCCCACAACAGAAATTCAATGCATCACTTTGTAAAACAAGGGTACTAGTGGAACAAACGTTTGGAATTTTGAAGCGCAGATTTTCGTGCCTACAAGGGGTACTAAGGTATTTGGCATTTGAAAATTAAAAAAAAAGAATAATTTAAAAAAACTTGTTTAAAAGAGATCGTTGAACTTAGTCAGTATTTTGCATTCAATTATTTCATTTTGTCAGTCGGGACAAAGAATAAATCAACAACCGTTAATTGGAGAAATAATTTGTAATTCATTCTATATCAGGACAGACCCACGTCAAGCTACGAGGTACATCGTTGCTTGTGCAATATTGCACAACATTGGAATAGACAGGGGTGATATCGTGGATTGTAGACAAGATGAAGTTCAGCTGCTTGGTGGAAACGACAATGCATTACATGTAGTTGGTGATGGATTAAACATTCGCAATCACATAGTGGATACGTATTTCACTTAAGTAAGATATTTCATTACCTATACAAAACTCGCAAAGGGGTACCTGTGCGAAACGAAATAGAAACGAAACGAACTGAAGCGAAACGAAATCTGCCGAAGCGAAACGGAATCACAACGAAAGAAACAAAACTGTCAAAATGTATCCCTAGTAGTGATGTATATATTTACACGAAGGAACTGCTGAGAGCTGCAAATATGTGCGAGCATACTATGCATGCATAATATTTCAGTATATGTAGTATTTTCTAATTTTTATGTCTTACTCTCATTTTCAGTCCTTATTCGTCTACATGTACATGTATACAAGATACAAGATATTTTATTTACCAATTAAGGGCCCCGAGGGGCATTTCAACATACATAAATGTACAATTTAAACATTCTCTCTTTTTTTATAACAATATAATTAATTTTTTTAAACAGTTATATAGATGACCAAGTTACCTGGAAAGGGGGGTCCACAGTATTAAATGCTGTTATGCCTTAAAAATAGCTTTTGGCAATAATAAACAGATAAATGTTAACGTTATATGTATTAGTATTTATTTTTACCAGTATTATAGGTTTCATGTAATTTTTTTCTTAAATACAGTCATGTACATTTAATTTTCCAAGAAAATTACACTCGTAATTGAAACAATGTTACAATTCATTACCCAGACTTGAATTACTTGTATAAATAATCGAATTTGGATATCGCTCCTCGAACTGACGGACCAAAAACGCCTTCTTAATTTCAATGAACTCCTTTTCTGCCTGTAGTTTCTGCTTTTCAATTATCAATTTCTCAATTTGGAGCTTAATTTTTTTATTATCCAGTTTCATATTCTCCAAATCTTCTTCTTCATACGCATCCTTGATTCCTTTTCTCTTTGGCCTTTTAGAAGAGACTTGATGGCCAGTGGCTGCAGTCTTGGGGGTAGCAGACTCAGAGATGGCAGAAGATGTACAGGCCGCAGAAGATGTGCAGGCGGCAGAAGATGTACAGACAGAAGCCGTGCCATTGTTAATTTCTGTTAAATTTATACACAGAATTTTAAATTTTTGTGAAATAAGAAGGTTGAACAAAATTTGAAATAGAAAGCTTCATCTTATTTTTGTTTGTACCATCAGTTGCGTCTGTGTCTATTCCATCTGGCAGTCCGCATATCTGTGGTCGCCCTTCAAAGGCTTGCATCAATGCGTCCTCGGAAGCTGTTAGGGAAGAAGGCGCCGGACCACCGCCTGTCTTTGGCCTTCTCAACATGTCAATCTTTTCTTTACCTGGGTCAATACACGTCCTCTTAATTTATTTTAAATATGTCTTTAGAAATTTGCATTTATTGAGCAGGCATAGATAAGACAAATCAGTTACGAAAGCCCATTTTGCTCATTTTCGTAGGTTAAAAGAATTCGCGAATAAACTTGTAACTTTAACGTTAGAGCGAAACTTTCGTGTTATAACGGGAAACTTTTGCTGTTTAACCAAGACATTTGCATAAGTCTCCTCTTTCTTGTTTGTGGTCTAGTTTATTCAATACAATGAAGATTAAAGGCTATCTTTATCTTGGACCATCACAAGCAATAATTATAAGTTTTCTTGCAACTGAGTGTGTCTTTCCTGTTTCTAAATCTCGTTATAACGTGAAAAAATATTTTTTAACCTACAAAAATGAGCCCAACGATTTTTCGTACATTTTCATTCATCCAGAAAAAATGTAATTTGCCTCATTCATGCAACAATGTCCCATTCCAATTTATTACTTTAACGAAAACAACTTTATAAAAATTGTGACCATGGTATTACCTTTCATGTATATAACAGTAAACTGTATTTCTCAGCACGTATCACAGGCGGGGGGGGGGTGTCCCTTTTTCCAGACATAACGTTATACTATAGAAATTAATTGAGCAATAAAAGTTAGGCCCCCCTTACGCTCTCCCAAATAGGATTTTCGAGTTTGGATATTCCTTTTCTCTCTCTCTCTCTCTCTCTCTTTCTCTCCCTTCTCTCTCTCTGACTACCCCTCCCCAAATTTCAGAAACGATTATACGAAACCGTTTCCGTTTTGCATAAACTTGAACCAAAATCATAACAACAATGATAACAATAAACGTTTCGATGAAGTTTTGTACTGACAAAAAAAAAAAACAAATGGAAATCATCAAAACGAATTTAAAATAATCATCAAAAGTCTAAATGAAACCTACAAGAACTAAATTTAAAAAAAAATTGATACCTCTTTGTTTGATGTTGTTAAATTTCTTCTTTACTGTGTCGTTGTCTCTGTCATTTTTGTAACTTCTACAACACCATCATTTTGAATATCAACCGCCCGAGAGTATTTAGAAAAGTAAGCCATCGAAAAAAAAATCGGAAGAATAAGGAAACGATGACATTTAATAGCGACTTTGGTGTTCAAAGCGATATTCTCTTTCTGTATACAATAATAATTAATAGTATATGAATGTATAAAGAATACTTCAGAAAATGCTTTAGCCTGTTAACACCTAATTTAAGACCACAGAACATAACTGGAAAAATTGGGGGGGGGGGGGGGGGCTGGTCAGACAATCGTATGAGAAAAATATGGATAACTATTATTTTTAGTCAGAAGTTTATTGAGATCGCCAATTAGGACGTATCAAAAGTATCACTGAATCCGATGTAACGAATACTGAGTGAGCATATTGTATAATTTGATTTTTTATAAATTATTGTTAAATGAATTGTTAATTAATTATATCAATTTCAATGAATTTAAACCTTATAACGAATTTAATCCGTTTCTAAAAATTGTTGAATTCATTACAGCAATTTAAAAATTCTTTGTATAAGCTATTATAAGAATTTATAAATTCATAATGAAATGGATAGAAAATTCTTATATACAACGAATCAAATGTGAAATGTTTTCATTCTTGTCCGTTAATCTTCTGCGATCTAAAACGTTTTCTTAAAAAAAAAACGCATCGTATTTTTTTAACTTTAGATCTAATGTACAACTGCACATCAATGGATGTCAAACCGTCACGTTCCAAACAGTATTGGGTCGAAATGAATAGTTACCCATGTAAAGATTGAAGGGAGATAACTACTAAACTTTATTTACAACAGGTCCGCGTTACAGCGAGTTGGAAAGGAAAAGTTAAGTAAAAACTTAATAAGCTATAATATTTTTTAAGTGTAGGAAAATTATATGTTTTGATTGAATATGCAACAACAGAACTTACAAGTTAAGGGTTTCTGCGATGGATTTCCACGTAGATTCTTTCAATTTGCCATGTTTACCCTTCACCCCCGAACCCTTCATTTTACCGAAGAGGGTCTCTTCATACTTCAAAACCTCTTCTATTAGGAGGATCTCCTCCTCTGAAGTCCAATTGGTGCCCCTTTTCTTAGGATTATTTTGTTCTGTCGGGAGTTTTACTTCGACAAGCTCCATGTTTGTGAATAAAACAAACAAACAAAGCAGACGGCAATACCTGTTTATTACGTAACAAACATTTCATCAAATTTTGTGTACTTCGTATATTTCGTGAGACCGCTTACATCATTGAAAAAAATTGACTGAGTATGTACTCAGTAGAGTTGAGAACCTAAAAATTCATATTCAACAGAGTACATACTCAACTATGTTGGTGGTGGTGATTTGAGAATGTCCTCTGTTGAGGATGGCCTCAACGCTTGAGTAGTGAATTGAGGCTGAGTACGGTATAATTTTGGTGGCGGCGGGGCCTGATTATCGAGTATAATATGGTTTGGGTCAGTTTACGCTTTATAATCCGCGAAGCGGATTATAAAAAACACTCTCCGATAATGAGTTAGACTTATCATGCATGCTTTGATTTAATTTGATCTTTTCTTATAGGATTTCCAAACGTTTTAGGGTGTGTTGATGGCACATTTATTGGAATTATTGCCCCTAATGACAACGAACCTGATTATGTCAATCGTAAAGGTTTCCATTCGTTGAACGTACAGGTATATTTTTTGCGATGCTTTAAAAAAATGTGCACGGATTTAAGACTTTTTGTAGAGTGAGAATTAATCATTCAAGAAAAAAGTTGTCCAAATCCTACTTGTTGAATAAAAAGAAGGGGGGTTCAAAGTCGCTTCATTAATCTTATTACGGTACTGTAAAACACTGGAGGTTGCCCCATCAATTCTGTGCATGTTGATGTTGTCGATTAATTAACGCACATTTTAAAAATCAAGCAGCCTCAATATTGTCCTTGTATAATTATGTTTCGTTTTATATTAAATTTTTTAAAGGCTGTTTGCGATGCCAACTTCAGAATTACAAGTATTTGTGCGAAATGGCCTGGCAGCGTTCACGACAGCCGAATATGGCGCGAATCTGCATTGTGTCAGAAATTTGAGAATGGTACAGTACTTGTTTTGCAATCACTTTCCTATCATTTCAAAAACACAAAACCAACAAATTATTTGCATTTTTTAGAGTGTAATTCTGTATTACATCTTAATAGGTGAATGTAACGGATTTCTACTCGGAGATTCTGGTTATCCGTGTAAAAGATATCTCATGACACCGTTTCTGAATCCTTCTACTGTCCCACAACAGAAATTCAATGCATCACTTTGTAAAACAAGGGTACTAGTGGAACAAACGTTTGGAATTTTGAAGCGCAGATTTTCGTGCCTACAAGGGGTACTAAGGTATTTGGCATTTGAAAATTAAAAAAAAAAAAAGAATAATTTAAAAAAACTTGTTTAAAAGAGATCGTTGAACTTAGTCAGTATTTTGCATTCAATTATTTCATTTTGTCAGTCGGGACAAAGAATAAATCAACAACCGTTAATTGGAGAAATAATTTGTAATTCATTCTATATCAGGACAGACCCACGTCAAGCTACGAGGTACATCGTTGCTTGTGCAATATTGCACAACATTGGAATAGACAGGGGTGATATCGTGGATTGTAGACAAGATGAAGTTCAGCTGCTTGGTGGAAACGACAATGCATTACATGTAGTTGGTGATGGATTAAACATTCGCAATCACATAGTGGATACGTATTTCACTTAAGTAAGATATTTCATTACCTATACAAAACTCGCAAAGGGGTACCTGTGCGAAACGAAATAGAAACGAAACGAACTGAAGCGAAACGAAATCTGCCGAAGCGAAACGGAATCACAACGAAAGAAACAAAACTGTCAAAATGTATCCCTAGTAGTGATGTATATATTTACACGAAGGAACTGCTGAGAGCTGCAAATATGTGCGAGCATACTATGCATGCATAATATTTCAGTATATGTAGTATTTTCTAATTTTTATGTCTTACTCTCATTTTCAGTCCTTATTCGTCTACATGTACATGTATACAAGATACAAGATATTTTATTTACCAATTAAGGGCCCCGAGGGGCATTTCAACATACATAAATGTACAATTTAAACATTCTCTCTTTTTTTATAACAATATAATTAATTTTTTTAAACAGTTATATAGATGACCAAGTTACCTGGAAAGGGGGGTCCACAGTATTAAATGCTGTTATGCCTTAAAAATAGCTTTTGGCAATAATAAACAGATAAATGTTAACGTTATATGTATTAGTATTTATTTTTACCAGTATTATAGGTTTCATGTAATTTTTTTCTTAAATACAGTCATGTACATTTAATTTTCCAAGAAAATTACACTCGTAATTGAAACAATGTTACAATTCATTACCCAGACTTGAATTACTTGTATAAATAATCGAATTTGGATATCGCTCCTCGAACTGACGGACCAAAAACGCCTTCTTAATTTCAATGAACTCCTTTTCTGCCTGTAGTTTCTGCTTTTCAATTATCAATTTCTCAATTTGGAGCTTAATTTTTTTATTATCCAGTTTCATATTCTCCAAATCTTCTTCTTCATACGCATCCTTGATTCCTTTTCTCTTTGGCTTTTTAGAAGAGACTTGATGGCCAGTGGCTGCAGTCTTGGGGGTAGCAGACTCAGAGATGGCAGAAGATGTACAGGCCGCAGAAGATGTGCAGGCGGCAGAAGATGTACAGACAGAAGCCGTGCCATTGTTAATTTCTGTTAAATTTATACACAGAATTTTAAATTTTTGTGAAATAAGAAGGTTGAACAAAATTTGAAATAGAAAGCTTCATCTTATTTTTGTTTGTACCATCAGTTGCGTCTGTGTCTATTCCATCTGGCAGTCCGCATATCTGTGGTCGCCCTTCAAAGGCTTGCATCAATGCGTCCTCGGAAGCTGTTAGGGAAGAAGGCGCCGGACCACCGCCTGTCTTTGGCCTTCTCAACATGTCAATCTTTTCTTTACCTGGGTCAATACACGTCCTCTTAATTTATTTTAAATATGTCTTTAGAAATTTGCATTTATTGAGCAGGCATAGATAAGACAAATCAGTTACGAAAGCCCATTTTGCTCATTTTCGTAGGTTAAAAGAATTCGCGAATAAACTTGTAACTTTAACGTTAGAGCGAAACTTTCGTGTTATAACGGGAAACTTTTGCTGTTTAACCAAGACATTTGCATAAGTCTCCTCTTTCTTGTTTGTGGTCTAGTTTATTCAATACAATGAAGATTAAAGGCTATCTTTATCTTGGACCATCACAAGCAATAATTATAAGTTTTCTTGCAACTGAGTGTGTCTTTCCTGTTTCTAAATCTCGTTATAACGTGAAAAAATATTTTTTAACCTACAAAAATGAGCCCAACGATTTTTCGTACATTTTCATTCATCCAGAAAAAATGTAATTTGCCTCATTCATGCAACAATGTCCCATTCCAATTTATTACTTTAACGAAAACAACTTTATAAAAATTGTGACCATGGTATTACCTTTCATGTATATAACAGTAAACTGTATTTCTCAGCACGTATCACAGGCGGGGGGGGGGTGTCCCTTTTTCCAGACATAACGTTATACTATAGAAATTAATTGAGCAATAAAAGTTAGGCCCCCCTTACGCTCTCCCAAATAGGATTTTCGAGTTTGGATATTCCTTTCTCTCTCTCTCTCTCTCTCTCTCTTTCTCTCCCTTCTCTCTCTGACTACCCCTCCCCAAATTTCAGAAACGATGATACGAAACCGTTTCCGTTTTGCATAAACTTGAACCAAAATGATAACAACAATGATAACAATAAACGTTTCGATGAAGTTTTGTACTGACAAAAAAAAAAAAACAAATGGAAATCATCAAAACGAATTTAAAATAATCATCAAAAGTCTAAATGAAACCTACAAGAACTAAATTTAAAAAAAAATTGATACCTCTTTGTTTGATGTTGTTAAATTTCTTCTTTACTGTGTCGTTGTCTCTGTCATTTTTGTAACTTCTACAACACCATCATTTTGAATATCAACCGCCCGAGAGTATTTAGAAAAGTAAGCCATCGAAAAAAAAATCGGAAGAATAAGGAAACGATGACATTTAATAGCGACTTTGGTGTTCAAAGCGATATTCTCTTTCTGTATACAATAATAATTAATAGTATATGAATGTATAAAGAATACTTCAGAAAATGCTTTAGCCTGTTAACACCTAATTTAAGACCACAGAACATAACTGGAAAAATTGGGGGGGGGGGGGGGCTGGTCAGACAATCGTATGAGAAAAATATGGATAACTATTATTTTTAGTCAGAAGTTTATTGAGATCGCCAATTAGGACGTATCAAAAGTATCACTGAATCCGATGTAACGAATACTGAGTGAGCATATTGTATAATTTGATTTTTTATAAATTATTGTTAAATGAATTGTTAATTAATTATATCAATTTCAATGAATTTAAACCTTATAACGAATTTAATCCGTTTCTAAAAATTGTTGAATTCATTACAGCAATTTAAAAATTCTTTGTATAAGCTATTATAAGAATTTATAAATTCATAATGAAATGGATAGAAAATTCTTATATACAACGAATCAAATGTGAAATGTTTTCATTCTTGTCCGTTAATCTTCTGCGATCTAAAACGTTTTCTTAAAAAAAAACGCATCGTATTTTTTTAACTTTAGATCTAATGTACAACTGCACATCAATGGATGTCAAACCGTCACGTTCCAAACAGTATTGGGTCGAAATGAATAGTTACCCATGTAAAGATTGAAGGGAGATAACTACTAAACTTTATTTACAACAGGTCCGCGTTACAGCGAGTTGGAAAGGAAAAGTTAAGTAAAAACTTAATAAGCTATAATATTTTTTAAGTGTAGGAAAATTATATGTTTTGATTGAATATGCAACAACAGAACTTACAAGTTAAGGGTTTCTGCGATGGATTTCCACGTAGATTCTTTCAATTTGCCATGTTTACCCTTCACCCCCGAACCCTTCATTTTACCGAAGAGGGTCTCTTCATACTTCAAAACCTCTTCTATTAGGAGGATCTCCTCCTCTGAAGTCCAATTGGTGCCCCTTTTCTTAGGATTATTTTGTTCTGTCGGGAGTTTTACTTCGACAAGCTCCATGTTTGTGAATAAAACAAACAAACAAAGCAGACGGCAATACCTGTTTATTACGTAACAAACATTTCATCAAATTTTGTGTACTTCGTATATTTCGTGAGACCGCTTACATCATTGAAAAAAATTGACTGAGTATGTACTCAGTAGAGTTGAGAACCTAAAAATTCATATTCAACAGAGTACATACTCAACTATGTTGGTGGTGGTGATTTGAGAATGTCCTCTGTTGAGGATGGCCTCAACGCTTGAGTAGTGAATTGAGGCTGAGTACGGTATAATTTTGGTGGCGGCGGGGCCTGATTATCGAGTATAATATGGTTTGGGTCAGTTTACGCTTTATAATCCGCGAAGCGGATTATAAAAAACACTCTCCGATAATGAGTTAGACTTATCATGCATGCTTTGATTTAATTTGATCTTTTCTTATAGGATTTCCAAACGTTTTAGGGTGTGTTGATGGCACATTTATTGGAATTATTGCCCCTAATGACAACGAACCTGATTATGTCAATCGTAAAGGTTTCCATTCGTTGAACGTACAGGTATATTTTTTGCGATGCTTTAAAAAAATGTGCACGGATTTAAGACTTTTTGTAGAGTGAGAATTAATCATTCAAGAAAAAAGTTGTCCAAATCCTACTTGTTGAATAAAAAGAAGGGGGGTTCAAAGTCGCTTCATTAATCTTATTACGGTACTGTAAAACACTGGAGGTTGCCCCATCAATTCTGTGCATGTTGATGTTGTCGATTAATTAACGCACATTTTAAAAATCAAGCAGCCTCAATATTGTCCTTGTATAATTATGTTTCGTTTTATATTAAATTTTTTAAAGGCTGTTTGCGATGCCAACTTCAGAATTACAAGTATTTGTGCGAAATGGCCTGGCAGCGTTCACGACAGCCGAATATGGCGCGAATCTGCATTGTGTCAGAAATTTGAGAATGGTACAGTACTTGTTTTGCAATCACTTTCCTATCATTTCAAAAACACAAAACCAACAAATTATTTGCATTTTTTAGAGTGTAATTCTGTATTACATCTTAATAGGTGAATGTAACGGATTTCTACTCGGAGATTCTGGTTATCCGTGTAAAAGATATCTCATGACACCGTTTCTGAATCCTTCTACTGTCCCACAACAGAAATTCAATGCATCACTTTGTAAAACAAGGGTACTAGTGGAACAAACGTTTGGAATTTTGAAGCGCAGATTTTCGTGCCTACAAGGGGTACTAAGGTATTTGGCATTTGAAAATTAAAAAAAAAGAATAATTTAAAAAAACTTGTTTAAAAGAGATCGTTGAACTTAGTCAGTATTTTGCATTCAATTATTTCATTTTGTCAGTCGGGACAAAGAATAAATCAACAACCGTTAATTGGAGAAATAATTTGTAATTCATTCTATATCAGGACAGACCCACGTCAAGCTACGAGGTACATCGTTGCTTGTGCAATATTGCACAACATTGGAATAGACAGGGGTGATATCGTGGATTGTAGACAAGATGAAGTTCAGCTGCTTGGTGGAAACGACAATGCATTACATGTAGTTGGTGATGGATTAAACATTCGCAATCACATAGTGGATACGTATTTCACTTAAGTAAGATATTTCATTACCTATACAAAACTCGCAAAGGGGTACCTGTGCGAAACGAAATAGAAACGAAACGAACTGAAGCGAAACGAAATCTGCCGAAGCGAAACGGAATCACAACGAAAGAAACAAAACTGTCAAAATGTATCCCTAGTAGTGATGTATATATTTACACGAAGGAACTGCTGAGAGCTGCAAATATGTGCGAGCATACTATGCATGCATAATATTTCAGTATATGTAGTATTTTCTAATTTTTATGTCTTACTCTCATTTTCAGTCCTTATTCGTCTACATGTACATGTATACAAGATACAAGATATTTTATTTACCAATTAAGGGCCCCGAGGGGCATTTCAACATACATAAATGTACAATTTAAACATTCTCTCTTTTTTTATAACAATATAATTAATTTTTTTAAACAGTTATATAGATGACCAAGTTACCTGGAAAGGGGGGTCCACAGTATTAAATGCTGTTATGCCTTAAAAATAGCTTTTGGCAATAATTAACAGATAAATGTTAACGTTATATGTATTAGTATTTATTTTTACCAGTATTATAGGTTTCATGTAATTTTTTTCTTAAATACAGTCATGTACATTTAATTTTCCAAGAAAATTACACTCGTAATTGAAACAATGTTACAATTCATTACCCAGACTTGAATTACTTGTATAAATAATCGAATTTGGATATCGCTCCTCGAACTGACGGACCAAAAACGCCTTCTTAATTTCAATGAACTCCTTTTCTGCCTGTAGTTTCTGCTTTTCAATTATCAATTTCTCAATTTGGAGCTTAATTTTTTTATTATCCAGTTTCATATTCTCCAAATCTTCTTCTTCATACGCATCCTTGATTCCTTTTCTCTTTGGCTTTTTAGAAGAGACTTGATGGCCAGTGGCTGCAGTCTTGGGGGTAGCAGACTCAGAGATGGCAGAAGATGTACAGGCCGCAGAAGATGTGCAGGCGGCAGAAGATGTACAGACA